CAACTTTCGCTCGTTGACAGACCAAACTGAAACCGGTTGCAAAATCTGGTTGCGCATGAATATTGATATATGACTAAATATGGGCATTGTTGACATGTTTATGCATACGCATTAACAACATGCGCCTGCTTTCTGTTTGCAAACAAACTTTTGGAAGAAAGTCTTCAACTTATTGTAATTCAAGCGCCATGTTGTTAGTACGCAGGACACCGATAAGAAAATTTGAAATGTCACATTAGCGCCGCGCTTTGAATATCGGACCAACAGTCACACGCATCACACTGCCGGGGTCCCGTCTGTGCAATTAAAATGGTTCGGTTTCCTTGATCTATCAGCTGAATTTATATCATGTCCGTACCATTTTGGAAGAGGGAAATCAGACTGTTCGCAAAGACATTCATGTTAACTGTACCACCCTATATACTGAAGACGTGAAAATCAACAAACTCAAATCTGCTTGCATGTCAGTGACAGCTTCGAACGATCGAAGGGCAAGGTCGCCACCGGAATAAGGAAAGACAACCGCGATCCACTCACAGCGTTTTACGCTAGAGGTAGGGAATGTTACTGTTCACATTTGGGATGTTTGGGGCCACAAAATCAGAAGTCAAGCACACTTCCACGGAGTTTTCGAATGATTTGTATCGGAATTGTGAACTTTAAGTGATCTGGTCGTGCTGTCGTGTTCGTTTATTCATGAACCTTCCGAAACAGCGCCACAAAATACGCTTCAAAGGGGACACCGATGGCACAACCGGATCATCCCAAGTAAGTCTAGATATCTGTCCAGATAGTTTAAACAGACTTCATTTCACCACGCTTATCCTTTTACGTTAAATCAAATTGAAAGTTGCGAAAATGGTCGGGTGCGTCACGCTCAAGGGACGCGCTCGATCGGCAGTCGTCCATTGTAAATCGATTTATAGATCTAGCTCGATTATATGTCTGTAGGAGCTCTATGCATAACTTATATAGAATGCAAACCGAATTTGATGCGTGTGACTATCTTGTTTGGTTTAATAAAGTGTTTGTAAATATCTCTCGTTCTCATTAATTTCTTCAGTTCTGCCTTGTAATCGCAAAATGAATGACGTCTTGCGATTTTTTATGAATGAAAAAAGTAGTCCCGGTGTGAAAGAGGTCACGATTATCCACTCAAAACGAATAAAACAAGGTCAACCTTGTACGACAAACGTGTGACGTACGGAATTAGTATCTTACCACCTGTATCTTCACCACGTGGGTAATAATAATACATATCTCCATCCTGCCACTGGCATATACTCCTAGTTCACTAACAGATTCAAATATTATGTCCATGATGACCTGTGTGGAAATGACCATTTTCCAATAATACTTACCATTATTCCGTCTGACGAACCACCTTTAACAAGGTGTAACCTTCCGAAGGCCAACTGGTCTTTGTTCTAAACACTATGTACTGAAAAACTAACACCTGACAGTTTCAGGAATGTTCCTGATCCTATACAACTTTTTCTTTCAGATATATTAAATGGCATTGGAGACGAAAGCATTCCTTAATCCTCTGCACACTCTCATATACGTAAACCATGGTTCAATGATAATTTAAACAAGCTAGCAAAAGTAGGAAGAAAGCTGAGAAATGTTTCCGCCGATATCCCACTGTCCACAACTTGAATAACGTTAAAATCACGGGCGCCAAAGCGAGACGCACTTTTAAACAAGATAAACGTCAATCCTGGAGTAACCATGTATAAAAAATCAATTCCCGCACACCCATGTCCAAGGTGTGGAACATGAGTCAAAAGATTAAGGGCAAAGGATCCAAATCTGTAGTTCGCCATCTCAAAGATGGTATTACACTTTTAACTACTAATTCCGAAATTTCGAACAAATTTGATGACAGAAACTTTAATACTCAGTCAGAGGTTTCAAAAACAGCAGGAAAAGAAAAAACGTAAATTTTAACTCTGATAATGGTGAGAACTATAACGAAACATTTTCACTCCATGAATTATATACTGCCCTATGGCAATCTCATGACACTGCAGCAGGAGCCGACAACATCCACTTTCAGCTCCTGAAACACTTGCCCGATTCATGTTTGGAAACGTTACTTAGTATATTTGATGAAATATCGACAACAAGAAATGTTCCTCTTTTGTGACACAATGCTGTTATTATTCCTATTCCAAAGCCTGGACAGTATCATACAGATCCATCCAACTACCGTTCAATATCATGAGCTAGCTGTGTTTGTAAAACCATGGAACACATGGTCAACGATTGATAAGTCTGGTATCTGGAGACCAATAACCTCATGAGTGCCATCCAGTATGGTTTCCGAAAAAACAGAAGTACCATTGACCATTTGGTGCCTTTAGAATCGTTTATTAAAAATTCCATTGCCAACATACTGTAGCAATCTTTTTCGATCTAGAGAAGGCATATGATGCAACGTGGAAACATGGTATTTTAAAATATTTGCATGAATTTCGATTGAGTGGGGAGGGGATCAGACAACCCTCCTTCACTTGTACAGATTGTTTATACGCTCCAGACTAGACTATGGTTCCATTGTCTATGGTGGAGCCTGCAAACGCAATTTAGAAAAAAATGGACACTATATACTTTCAAGGCCTAAGACTCTGTCTTGGAGCTTTTAGGACCTATCCCATGGACAGTTTGTATGTGGAGGCTGATGAACCTTCACTCGAACAGTGCGGCTTTAAACTTTCACTGCAATACATTACTAAATTGCACTCAAATAAATCCAATCCACCATACAATTGTGATTTCCACCCTCAGTATCAAAACCTATTTCGAAATCTATCAAACCTGGTTCCACCACTTGGAATCAGAATGCAACCACACATCACCGCAGCTAAAATTGATCTAAATATGATATCACCTTACCGTCTTCTGTCTTCTCCTCCCTGGCAGACGGTGAAGCCAGAGGTTAACCTCACCCTTACCCAACTAAAAAATTCGAAACAAATCCTTTGGTTTTTCAACAAGCGTACAACCAACTGCGATTTAAATATAATTCTCACGGGTCCGTTTGTACAGACGGGTCCAAGGATGGTGGCAAAGTTGCAAGTGCCACCATCATTGGATCCAGAACTGTCTGCTCAAGAATCACAGATTCTAGTTCTATCTTTACTGCTGCGGCCAAATCTATCTTAACAGCTTTGATCTATATTAAACAACAAAACCAATCTAAAAATGTCATCATCTCCTCTGATTCATTGTTATGCATTCAGGCACTTAAAAGTGTCTCCTCAAATCATCCTATAATCCTAGACATTTTAGAACGTTTTAATGAATCTTTCCAATGGTCAATGTGACATCATCTTTTGCATACCGTAGCCATTGACACTAGGGTCCCAGGAAGTGTATCGTTAAGTAATTCAAATTATTTCATGACCCGAGCCTTATCATCATCTCAGCTAATAATTAGTAATCTAATATGATCTCCGTCGTTGTATTAGTTGTGGGCACTTCCTCTCCCTTGTCCGACAATTTAAACAGGTTTTGATGCTTAAATATGTTTATATCCTAAACTTGTTTTGGAACTGTTTAGAATGAAACGTTTGTCAGCTTAATGTTGGAGGAAATCCCGAAGTGATGCAGGTCTCAGACGTTTACCACTTCGGTGAAACCCACGAGCACGGGTATGGTGCTGACAAACCTAGAAACATAATCGGGCGAACCAGGATTCGAACCCAAAATCATGTTTCTGGAGTGCCCATGGGACGCAACTCCGACTGCCCCCCCCCCCCCCCCCACACACACACACACATGAAACACAAGACACGATAGTATGACCGTGCACAAGCAGACAAACTATATGTTGACATATAATGGGCAAAGTACAACGGTTTTCAGAAATCCATGCCTGTCGTGCGGCAGAGGCGACTAACGGGATCGGGTGGTAAGGCTCGCTGACATGGTTGATGTATGTCATCGTATTCCAACTGCGTAGATCGATGCTTATACTGTCAATCTCTGGGCTGTCTCGTCAAACAAACAAAACTACTACAAACTGTTAATGAGTCTACAACAAAAATGACCTTTAACGAGTCTGATGAATAGGAACTGGGTTATAAATAGAAATGACGTCTACAGCCGCTTTTATTGCATTTTTTTTATTTGCATTTATTATATATGTATCCATTCTCAGTCATCTGTGGTTCGTTTGAAAGCGTAAATAGCGGTAATCTAATCGTGGTTTGGGTAATAAATAACGGCGGATCTGTTCACTTATGATGTTTAATGTTTAAGACAATCAATATGTTAGATTAGGAACATTTTTCTAGATTGTATAAACAGACAGTGTAACAACGGGATACACTTGCGTACTTCAGCAGATTTGGTTTTCAAACAGGGTCAACCCCACCCTCTCTCTGGATCCGCCTATGCAAGACGTAGGCGTGTAGTGCGCAACCCGCTCTACACGTCTCTATTGTTTTGGTGCGCACAATACGCAGGGAGAGACTGTGCTCGTTTCTAAAGACTCTATCGGTCCCCAGGGAAGAGAAGATCTGAAATATTTATACCCTGACACTGATATTCTTCCCATGTGATTAGTGTATCAATTTTGGTAAGCCCGGAGGAACTGAAGCAATAATTCCAGTTTCCGTTCTTTCGCGGTTTGTTACAAACATACTTCCCTTAAAAGTTAAGGATAACCCGATTCTTTCAAGTACGAAAGTTAATCTGTATGTTTGTTTGTTTATTTGTTGCCTAACGCCGCACTCAGCAATATTCCAGCTAAATGGTGGAATAATCAAGTGTGGACCAGACAATCAGGTGTTTGACATCATGAGCATCGATGCATGTTACACGATTCATTAAATCAGTTCTAACCAGGACCCCAAACGGGGGTCCCCGAATCAGTGAAGAGCTATTGTAAACTGACGTCTCTTTGGACGCAGATGGTAAATTCTTTTTGTTATTGTCAGAATCCATCTCTGGGTAAATGGACACCAATGATGTCATTAAGAACCAAGTCCTACCTTCCAAACAGAGCGGCGCCTCAGTCACACGATGCACACTGCATCGCGTCCCTGGAGGACACGTGTGATCTACGCACGGACCCATCAGCTCCTTGGATTAAACAAAATATCAGTCGTAACAGTTATCTACATTCCCATGGTTAATATTATGTTTTAAAACGCCCACCGCATATATAAGCAAGAGTGGATACAGCTTTTTGGAAAAGGTGTTCTGCACTTAATATATAGAACAAATGTTTTTTGTTTGTTTGTTGCTTAACGCCGCCCTCAGCAATATTACTGCGATATGATTGCGGTCTGTTGATATTGAGTGATTGATATCATGAGCATCGATCCACATAATTTGGATACGATGACATTCCTCAACCAAGTCAGCGAGCGACAAGCACAGTCGCCTTTTACGGCAAGCATGGACTGCTGAAGACCTATTCTACCCCGGATCTTCACGTGTCATTAAACAAATGACAAGAGTGGGTGAGTTGGGTTTAACGCCACTTTTAACATTATTCCAGTTATGTCACGGCGTGTCAGCTTAATGTGGGAGGAAAGCCCAAAGTGATGTAGGTCTCAGATGTTACCACTTCGGTGAAACCCACGAGAACGGGTATGGTGCTGACAAACCTAGAAATGTGAGGGAGTGAGTATGGTTTTACGCCGCTTTTAGCAATATTCCAGCAATATCACGGCGGGGGACACCAGAAAGGAGCTTCACACATTTTACCCATGTCGGGAATCGAACCCGGGTCTTCGGCGTGACGAGCTTTAACCACTAGGCTACCCGACCGCCCCCTAGAAATTTAATCAGGGCGAGCCGGGATTCTAACCCACAATCATAGGTTTCCGGCGTTCCCAAGTGACGCAACTCTGCACAGCGAATCGCGGCCCCTTAGACGACTGGGCCATCCATGCCCCCACAAATAAATGTGTAAACAATATGCATCGTTAGCCAAAAACAACAGTTCTGTCATGGTTAGAGTTGTTGAATAATAACAAAAGCCAGAAAACCCTTTCCGTAAGCACAAGAAACTTCTGCGAAAATAACAGTGTCCATTGTACGGTTCCGGCTATATCTCAAGCATGTGTTCACGTATCACAATCCCGCCCTAAACACAGCAGTATGTGATTTGGCCTTGTGTTTGTCATACGTCATCGTGATCAGCATGTATTAAAATGGGGGTATACACTCCCGCTGTCCATCTCTGGTTCCGCGTACACATACATATAGACAACATAAAATATGACACATATGCATACATACCTTCGGCCAGAGAGAAATATCACTGTGTTTCCATTGTGGTTTCGCCACGAGGTCGGTTGGTTCTGTTGAACTGTCTTTCTTGTGGAGGTGGCAAATGTGAAGTGCAGTTTCGAATCCGAATGAGAAACAATCAAGATGTGCAAAGCATTCAACGGCACACTCATGTGCAGAGGGCACTCTCCTCTTAATGATGCCAAATAAGTTGTTTTCCAAATAACTGTTATCTGCTATGATACCTGCTTCATTGAAGCAAAGTAGTTGAACTGGACAAATACAAGTTACTATAAAATATAATATCATCGGCACCATCTTCAAGGATTTCAGTTGATTGTCACATGTACTAGTCACACGGCTTCCTTTGTACTGCTATAGTTCCATGCGTCGCATCTGTACATATTCTGTATGACAGACGGTTTATATAGCCTTCCAAAGCATCGATTTTTGGGATGGGTCAGTCTTCCGCGACAACATCGATCCTCTGCATTTATACATTTGAACAATTTACCTGAAACCTAAAAGGCTTTATAATTTTCTGCTCTGTAGACTCGATACTACGTAAGCGAAGTAGGGCCACGGTGAATTTTCTTTTGTCTAAGTATCTCCTACGTAGCATGTATTTCAGTGCAACCTCAAAGCGATAATACGCGAAATGTGAAGAATTTCTTACAGCTAGTATGAAGAATGAAATGTTTGTGACCTTATATAAGAATGTGTACAACTGTGACGAGTGTGAGTTAGTGAGTGAGTTGTTATTAACTCCACTTTGAACAGTGTACCAGTTATATGACGGTCTGTCAGCTTGTGAGGAAAGCCGGAAGTGATGCAGGTCGTAGACGGTCACCACTTTGGTGAAACCCCTGAACACATGAACACATGACAAACCGGGATGCGAACCCACGATAATAGCTTTATTCCGTGACCAAGATTCCGTATCCACTCATATAGTTTACACCGCTATTTTGCCGTTTATACGCAACTGGATCTGTTTCGGCGGAAATCGAGACTGATTATTCTCTGACGTTGATATATATATTCACTTAAATAACCCTGTCTGGTTTCCGGATCACAGCCGACTTATATTGAGGATGTGTCAGTATTCCGCGACAACATGGATCCTCTGGATTGTCTGCATTTATACATTTGAACAATTTACCTGATACCTAAAAGATTTTATAATTTCCTGCTCAGTAGACTCGATACTACGGAAGCGTAGTAGGGCCACGGTGAATTTTCTTTTGTCTAAATATCTCCTACGTAGGACTTAGTATCTCCTACGTAGGACTTACTATCTCGTTCGTAGGACTTACTATCTCCTACGTAGGACTAACTATCTCCTACGTAGGACTTAGTATCTAGGAGATACTAAGACAAAAAACATTTTCACCGTGGCACTACTACGCTTCCGTACGATACCACGATACAAATGCCACGAAACGAAGTCAGTTATTGAGTTATGGATAAATTGCCAGCATAGTCCTGTCAAAAGGGTCATTTCAATGGGTCTGTGACAACACACGTGTAGATTCCGGGTGCCGATACAGGCCCCCAGCCACCTGTCCTTGCTGGGAGAGACGTTAAAATCTTATAATGTAATACATGTCGCGTGCGCCATTGGAGCTGTTGTTGTAATATTTAGACGGATTATTGAACAGTGCATTCTTCACGGTTGCCAGTATTGTTACTGCCGGTGTGTGGACAGTATCTACTAAATAAAGATACAGTTATTGTAATGAACTGAAATGCATGTGCCGCGATTCAACTTCAGGTCACCTGGGGTTCTCTACATTGTATTGTTGGATCATCTAGTGTTCTATCCAGATATGTTTCTAACGTTAGACAATAAACATATGATGCATGGTATGTCCTTGATTTTCGATGTCCAAACCTTTTACATGAATTATATCATAATTCTAAATGTACTTGTGGCATTATTTTTGTTATATCGCGGCTGATGCTATGCGAGTGTCTCCATGGACTTGAGGTGCAACGCCAGCCCGGAAAGCGGAAGGTCCGGGGTTCGATCCCCGGCTGCGTCATACCAAAGACGTTAAAAGATGGTATATGTTAATACCCTGACTGGCGCTCGGCATTAAGGGGCTAAAACAAGGACTGGTCGGCTCGGAGTCAGTATACTGTGTCTGAGTGGGGTATTCATGTTGTTTGCGACATGGTATCTCAGTGTGCTAGCACGATAAATCAGCATCAGTCCGGACTAGTACAGGCAGCCACACACACACACACACACACACACACACACACACACACACACACACACACACACACACGCGCGCGCGCACACACACGCACACACATACATACACACACTATCACAGACACAGACACACACAGACACACACACACACACACGCACACGCACACACATACATACAGACACTATCACAGACACACACACACACACACACACACACACACGCGTGCATGCACAGTTTTTGCTGTTGAATACATGATACTGTAAGTTAACGTTTGATTTTCACATATATATAACTTTCATTATTCATAGTTTGCCAAGACAGAGCTGTTAATCAATAAAGTGCATTGGGTACTTGTATTGTGTGGATGTAGACAAAAGTTGTATGGTTTTCTGCCCATTGTCAATTACCACAAGTACACGCAGCCTGGTAAACGTATGGAGTGCAGTTGTTCCCTGGTGTACTGAACATGTTTTTCTTTACCTTAACTGAAGATGTTGTCTTGTTTCAGACACAGTGGCTGCTTTGCTAAAACTGTTAGCTAATTTCGAAAACCGGTTGTTAGATATAGTAGCCCTTAGGAGAGGTGGTGGCGTATCAAGAAAAGAGAGTCATAAATTAAATCCATGCCATGTTAGGCAACCATATTGGCTCAAAGAAGCACACGTAAAATGAGATCATATCGTCACTGCACAACCACAAAAGTAAGTTAATGAAAATTAGGAATGACAATGACAACATCTGTTATCGTAGCAGAATCCTAATATGGGTAGTAATGACGATGAGGTGATGGATAAATGTATAGCGTATACACACTCGTGATGCCTGGGGAATAAGAAGATGAAAAGGGTATTGACAATGAAATGACTTGTTTTGATAAAAATGGCACACATAAATTTCAAAGGGCACACCTAAATATCTGTTTCATTGTCGTATGGCACATTAGAAAACTAATACTTTTCTATCCCTGAAAGAACCATTACATTTATCAATAAACATTGATATTTTTCATAGTGTTGTTTTAATTCAAAGAGTCACAGTTCAGTTGTCGCCAATATTTTTTTCTCATTGAAAATATCGCTTCATTACATTTTATTGGAAACTTATGTTCTGATCACTATCGTATTGGTTCTGTGAGCGGAGCATGTTTAATTCGAAAAGTCTTGTGTTACGCATCGATTCCCAGGTTTATAAATCAATACAAATTACTGCACAGCAATAAAAATGTCAGTACACAAAAGATTGGAAGTACCATATTCAGTGGCAGTATCAAAAACAAAATATGATGACATCAGTGACATCAAAAAGTTCAGTAGTTATAAAATTCACCTATCCGCAATAGTGGTCAAGCTTCCAAAATAGCCCTAGGGTGGGAATCCCGGGTGATAAGGGATCTTCACACAAAAGCTAGTCGTGAAGTAATGTCAGATGAAGTGTGAGATAACAAAGGGACGCGCAGGACAGTTCAACCAGCTCCCTCCAGAGTTCCAGACCAGTCCAGTGTCACTTGAACACCACAGAATATTCCACATTATAACGCTTGACATCCATCCACGCTATTCCGGAATTTTACAGATAATTCGAACATATTAATACAATAACTCCCTCACCACTGTTTACATTAAATAGTACGCCAGACAGGGTAAAAATAGTACTTCCTGACAACTAATCACTTTCCAAATACAATGCAATGAACTTCTAATGATACAGTACACTGCCATATATGGTCACATGTTTACTATATGATGTTACTCAGATGAGGCGAGGTTTAGAATGTACCTTGCCAGTCACTATCGCCGAGTTTCAGTGTTGTTATGTTTGGTATTATGCCATAGACCATGATGTACAGAGTAGTGAAGAAGGCCTGAGGGGATTTGTTCCATAACATTATTATGTTGGATTCAAACAGTAATTAACAAGGGCAAGCAGTATAGAAATATATTTCACCAGAATTTAGTCGGATACGTTTTGTGGTCGTCATATTACGTTTGTTTTTTTGTCGTGTGTGAGTGAAAACGTATCAACTGACCAAAAACTGCAATTTCGACTTTCAACATAACCTAATTTACACAAGAGAACATTAGTCGGAAGTATATGATGAAGTATTTTGTATTGGAGCCATTGCAGTTTAGTGTCTTTCGTTCATCGAAAAGGTATTCTATTGTATTGGGACCAGTTATCAATTGAGTCATCCTTTAGAATATTCTTTTCCCATTTCGTACAGTGTACATCTTTTGTAGTGACTTCTGAAATTAGTAAGTTGTAAAAGCGTTTCGATCCATTTGCAAATTTAAGCACATTTTCGATACATTGGGTGTATAATTGGATTTTGCAACTTGTTCAATTCTTCTAGTTCAACATTACTTGCCTTGAAATAGTGTTTAATGGCCACGATAAGGCCGTTATATAGTAAAAAGTTCGTTTTTATCTCGAAAGATTTTGAGATTCGGCCAGTAAATGATTTGCGTTGTGTTCCAGTTGAGCGTTAAGGTCCCACAAGGCAGTCAAAATATCTTTGTAGTAATTGTTAGGGATAAGTGGTAGTAGTTTATTTCTTAAAGTAGTTACAGTTATTGTACTATCCTTCTAATTTTGATTTCCGTCAAACTATTAGCAATTTCGCTCATTTCAGTCCGTGGGAAAGGTTGCATAGATTTCTGTAATACCGCGTAGAGGGAATCCAAACAATGGAAATACTTGGCTGCTGGTTGTCGTTTTCCCAAAAGAATCCATTCATCATTTTCAGATAAACATGTTCGACCTCCCTCTAATGCAAAACGAGTTGCTATTCGCGCGCCTAACGGGTTGGTGGCGATAATTGGTCCTCGGTGGTGTGGTGATAATTGGTTGGTTGGTTTGTTGTTTAACGCCGCACTCAGCAATATTCAAGCTATATGACGGCAGTTTGTAAAAAATCGAGTCTGGACCAGACAACCCAGTGATTAATATCATGAGCATCCATCCATGTAATTGGGATCGATGACATGCATCAACCAAGTCAGCGAGCCTGACCACCCGATCCCGTTAGTCGCCTTGTACGACAAGCATAGACACCTTTTACGGCAAGCATGGGTTGCTGAAGACCTATTCTACCCCGGAGTCTTCACGGGTCTGGTGTGGTGATGAGCTAAAGTTAACACAATATATATCGCCTGTGAGCTGGTCATCGTTTGTTGATTATTTTAACATAAAAAGTGATTGTAGATGCTTTTATAAC